TACAAAGAACCGAAGAGCTTGCCAATGCTGTCATGCAATATATGTGAAAGAATGCATGTATGGCATGCATACAAATAAAGAAAACTATTTCTTTACTCAGTCAGTAACTTATGCACCTTGCAAAATTTATTGTTTTAATAAAATAATGTACTATTTCTTTGATTCAGCAAGTATTTAACCCTTTGTGTTATGGAAAGATCCTCTAGATACAAGAGAAAACTCAGTTTTTTATGAAAATAGCCCCTTTTCTATTGATATTCAGTTGATCAATATTTTCCTTTAAAGTAGTTGTGATGAAATCCTTCTTATTATCTATTTTAGATCAGTCTCAATGAATCACTAGATGCTGTCTCTCCTCAGTAGTTGTGAAACCTCGGGATTAAAATGATAATTTGCATAGTTTTGCTTTAAGTTTCACAGGCACTAACTTTGTACCCGGCAGAAACACACCTTTAAGATGCATTTAGGTGGGTATTATGTAAAGCCTCGAGGCTTCTGCCTGATATATGTAAAGGAAAGCTCTATGTTTACATCTTTGAGCTTTCTCTCACCGATTCTTTCCTGAGAAGAGATCCCTTGGATCAAACACTTTAAATAACACTTTATAAGGTTTATGTATTAAATTACTATGAGACATGACAACCGATTTTGCAGAAATTGTAATCTTACTCAGAGCAGAGAAAATGCTTAGGGTTAGAGATGGCAGCGCTTACCATCAGGCTTGATTGCCACATCATCACATCTTAAATCATTACATCATAACCATTTGTACATGAGGAGACTTCATTGGCTACAGCCATATCAGAATAGTATAGTGTTCTTAGATCAAGGACAACCTGAATACACAGTTACAGAGCTATCTGTTAAAGGAGAAGTCCGGTCATATTCAGAATACAAACTTCTGAAAGTACTTTAAATCTAAAATTATTACATGATGTTCAATAAATGATAAGTGTTTTTAATTAAGAGTCATTTTCAATTTAATGTGCTTTACTGGAGTGGAGGCATCCATGTTTATCAAATAACACTACTGCCACCTACTGATTTGAGACGTCACGGTGCGGTATCGGCTGTTTATCAAATTCCAGTGCTGTATCTGGTGTTTGTCACAACGCGTTATTATCCAATACATCTTGAGAACATTCTTCTTCCAAATGTTGGCTACATGTTACGTGTTTTTTCTCAGGCCATAAGTCTGATGGCAAATCCTCCCTCTTCAAGTTGGCAATCCAACAACGAACCCGTCCGTGGAGGATCAGGAATCAGAAAGGTGGAATAACTCTTTTTTTTTTCACTTTTACCCGGTGTATTCCAACATCCAGCTGCCATACACGTGGGCATTGTCAGTTTCACTATAGCTCTGGTGAATTTCAATGGTGAAGTCCTCTGGAAATCTTCAATAATTGTTGTTGATTGCAGATGTGTCTAGTAGTTCCCATTGATTTTGCTTGTAAAGCGGAGAGAATGGCGCTAGGCTTACTGCACCGTGACGTCACTGCCGGAAGATGTCAGGAGTGAGGTGTTACTATATTTGGGCAAAAATGGCCGGGTTTTTATTTTCTTAAAGGTTAATGGTAAATTCATTAAATTACCACGAAAATATTAGTTTTAGGTATAGACAATGATCCATTGATTATTCCTCGCTGACTGGAATTTTCCTTTAAGAGAAATCCACTCTGTCTGAATGCTTCTATTTTATTCCCAAATCTTTGTTACATACATAATGAAGATTTTTACTTTTTATTCTGACAGAAGAGCTGTCTTAATTAGATAAAGTCCTCGGGGAAAACATTATTCTTGACACTTAGCAGGCCGGTAATATTAGGGTTTACCAAACTCATACATGAATTACAAAGATAATCCTAACATATATAAACAAAATGACTTAAATTTTATGTCATCATTACAACCAAATGAAAAAATAAAACCCCTTAAAGAAAAATCACATAAATTCCAGATACAGCTCTACGAGAGGGGATTAGGGCCAGAATTAGGAATTTAATCTCAGAATTATGACTTTTTGCTCAGAATTTTAACTTCAATTTCAGAATTCTTTGTTTCCAGAGTTCTGACTTTAATCTCAGAATTCTGTCTGAATCCTGACAGCTAACAAACATGTTAGCATAAAGCTAAAAGACGTCTAAAAGACGTCTGGTGTTTGGGGCGAAGCTTCAGTATGTACTAGTGAGCACTGTTGGGGCCATAATCTGGAAGTGGAAAGAATCTCATTTTACCCTAAACCAACCAAGTGCTCCACGCAAGATTTCTGACAGAAGAGTTTAAAGAATTATCAGAAGAGATGTTCAAGTGCCAAAGACCACTTGCGGAGAGCTTCAGAAAGACCTGGAATTAGCAGATACAATTGTTTCAATTCTGGGAATTTCAATGGGAACCTTTCCTGTTGTCAACCTGCTTTACCAAAATGTACGCTATTTAATTTCCTTCCACATCAACATGTGCTGAAACCAGGGGCGTCTCTAGGTTTAAGAGACAAGGGTGGCTCAGCCCCTAGAAGATAATGCGCGCGCACAGTGCGCGCCGAATTTTTTCAGTGCACCTGCTAAGGCGTTGTCTAAGACAAGGGTGTAACTTTGTGTTGAAAGTTGGTGGGGACGGCTCATAAGGAAAGGGAGCTACCTGCGCGACGCCTTTTTTTTTTTTGTTGGAAAGGATAAAGCCAAAAAAATGCGAATAACATTTATCAATTTAATGCTTACAGTTGAAAACATAACTGTTACAATATTCACTTATATATTTTGTGCAAAAAATATTACATAAATCTAAACAGACAGTACAAATCAAAGAAATCAAATAAATATATCAATTTTGTAGAACATTTATTGGCGGTCAATTTTGGGTCACTTTTTAAAATTAATTTACTTTTAAACGAAGACTCGGACAAGATCTTATGGGACCTTAAGCAGAATATGATTAAGCAACTCCGTCTTTCTGTCAAGAACATCCACCAGCAGGGTATCCAGGGGGGGATTTACCATTAGGCAATACTAGGCAGTTGCCCAGGGCCCCAAGTTCTGGGGGCCCCATAAAACTCTGTTTCCATGTATGGTTAATACAACTAATCCTTATTTGTGCACATTAATTATGTTTTTGATAAAAATCCTTTGGCTAAAATGCCATCAGAACGCTGATAAATAGAGAGGAAAAAGGGACAAGAAGAGAGGGACAAAACCTAGAACAAATAATGGATGTCTATTCTATTAACATTTCTCTATCTGTAGAATGGGTCTGTTTTATGGGTTTTCTTCTCAGGGGGCCCCCTGCCTGTCTTTGCCTAGGGCCCCAAATTTCCTAAATCCGCCCCTGAGGGTATCAATACTGATTTGATAGAATCTGGGAGAGCGGACTATGTTCAACCATCCATTTTCTTTAACCTTATCCCTCAGTGGGATCAGGAGGTGCTGGTGCATATCTCCAGCCACGTTCTGGGTGAGAGGTGGGATCACCCTGGACAGGTCACCAGTCTGTCGCAGTATGTTCAACCAGCTTAAAAGTAATCGCTAATCAGATTTATTATTTGCACTTTTACTAAGTGAACTTTCTAACTCCCTTAAATCTGAAATTCCAATGCCAAAATTGTTTAAATCTTTTATCTTTGGACCCCCTGCAGAGTGACGTCACACCTGCAAGATCCTATCCTTACCTTCCTGCTAGATTGCAAAAAGCAGCTTGCTCATGAGTTGTCAACTTAACACGCTAAATCTTAAATGTACGTGGCAACACAACACTATCAAAGTCAGGAGAAAGTTTTAAGTAAAGCCGGGATTAAAACAGTAGCTACAAGAAGCTTCAAATAAAAGGTGTTCTTTATGTTCAACCTAAACACCAACTCCGACAGACCATCAGTAGAGCAGGTGTTTAAATTAATCAATCACTGCTGCGAAAGCTTATAGCAGTGAAAGCTAATATACCACAGCCATCACTTAATAAACGCAAAATAAACAACCCTCTAAAAACGGAAAACTGTAATGGACTGAAAGTCCTGTTTTTTATGTGGGAAATTATTTGCGTGTGTTTTAGTATAATTCTGATATATTGGCGCTGTTGTCTGTTTCTATGGCAACGATACTGAATGTAGTGTAGCTTAGAGACCTGCATGGGTCGAGTTTTACCAACCCGCACCCGCCCGAACCCGTTAGGATGACTACCGAACCCGACCCGCGGATATCTTCAATTCAAATGTTATGGGGAGAGGTTGGAGGGGGGTGATGGGGAGAAAGCGAGAGGCAACAGATTCTTTTTTCTGAGTTTTTGTCGGGGTTTGTGGACGGTGAGCAGCGGGGAGAACTTTTTTTATTTTCTTTCTGAGGAGCGGCATGAATGGGGTTTTAATCAGATATACACAGCACCGAAAGCAAAATACGTGTACAAAATATTGGTGGGGACATGTCCACACCAGTCCTTAAGGAAGTTACGCCTATGATTGTTCAGATTAACTTGTCTTCTTTATGGCTTTTATTCGGTGCTTTACTGCATTTGTTTTGGGAAAATATGAGGAAAAAATAAATAAAGAAAAAAAAAATATTTTTTTTAAAATCGCAAAATAATTATAGGGTGGCTAATGCCAAAGAAAGGGTGACTGAAGCCACCCTTAAATAGGTCTAACGACGCTTATGGCTGAAACCCAAACAAACTGCATCTCTGCCACTTTAACTCTCTTGGCCTTGGCCAATTACTATTTTATGTTATAGATTTTATAGTTCTGATTAATTTAGTCTTTTGTGCTTGTATGTTTTTTGAGACTGTGTAATGGTGTTATGTTGTTTCACTGTACAGCGCTTAGGTCAATTAAGAAATTTCAAAGTGCTTTATAAATAAAGTTGGATTGGATTGGACTTTATCTACAACTCTATAGTATGTTAGCCTTAAAGGAAAGTGGGAAAGAGCACGAGCCAACGCTCCTCCAACTTTATGGATTGAGTACTACATTTCCCAGGATTCCTAGCGATCTGAGTTTGCGCAATATGTTTTGCACGGCCCTGGGTCCTGACAGTGTATGTTTGGTGTTTGTTGTTGTCAAATCAGGAGTGGAAAAGAGAAAACTCTACCTAGGCGTTAACTGTGAACATATCGCATGAGGTAAGGTTTTTAACAGCGCAGTTTGTGCGCTCTGTGTTTGTCTCCGCTCTCCTCCTCAGATGTTGTCTTTAATAAAAGTCTTCACAGCGAGCTAACCAAAGAGACAAGCTAGCAGCTGCACTCAAACTACCCAGCGAAAGTCTAATATAAAGAGCTAGAGGGTTTCAGTTTAACAGTTTCCTCCAGGAAATTTATTTCTGGACAGATTAAAGATGTTTTGGAAGGTGAGCAGGATCCACCGCTGACTGATAGTCCCCATTAAATCAAGCTAACTACCTGTGGTCAGCTGGCTAACTCACAAACAATAACCCTATCTGGATATGAAAGCTGTTGTTACTTGATATGTTGCTTGTTTAAGAAAAATTAAAGGGTAATTTTGGTTTTTAAAAGCTTCAAGAGAATAAATGTTTTATTTCTCTGTTAAACAAGACAGAATGGGCAGGAAGTGATTGTTGGGATCTGGAGTTCTGCCACCTTTCTCCAGCAGAGGGCGTCCTGGGTCTCCTGAGCTGAGTCACCTGCACACCTGAGGCTCATCCTCTCATCAGGAGACCAACTACTTAAGCAGCGGCCAGACCTGTCTTCAGTGCCAGAGTGTTGCCAGTTATGGTTAGCAGAACCTGAGCCAAGCCTGCTGATCTGAGACTCAGAGGAGTATTCTGATCCCTAACCTGTTTTTGTCTTCTCTGCTTCCTAGGCCTTCCTGCCTGCCCTGACAGCCAAACCTGAAGAACCTCAAGCTGAGTTTGTTCCTGTTCTCAGGAGAGAACCTTGGCTGATAACTGAAAGTCTGAACTCAGGTCTGTAGTCAAGCTCTGCCGCTGCTAGCTCTCTGCAGAACCCTCAAGCTCTGGACCCAACTGGTTCCCTCTCTCACTGCGTCAGTCTGAATCTCTCCAGGTACAGATCAGTATCTGACTGTGTCAAGATTCCCCAGACCTCTGGCTAACCTAATTATCCCTTCTCTACAGAGAAACCCTTTTGAAGTCATTCCAGACCAGAATCAGTATTTGATATTGTTTTGTGCTTTTCAAATAAACTGTTGAACAACACAGAGGAAGCTGAATATGTGACAATGGAGGCAGTTAAGCTTATGCTGGAGCAACAAAAGGATCATTATGAGGAGCTGTTGAAGAGGCAGGAGAAGGCCTTCAGTGGCTTTTGTCAAATGATCCTGGACTCTGTGAACAAAAGGGTGGATTCACTTGTGGGAGAGGTGCAGGAAATAAAGTGAGTTTAAACTACTCACAGAAAGACATTGATGACGTAAAAAAGCAAACACAAATTCAAAAGACTGATTTGGAAGTAGTGAACAAGGAGCTGAAGAGTTTTAAGTCTGAAATGTCTGTCAAGGCCTATGATGAAAAAATAGACTACTTGGAGAATCAGTCTAGGAGAAACAACATTGTGATCACAGGACTGGGTCCAGATAAGCCTGAAGAGACCTGGGAGGACACTGAAATCAAAGTCAAAAAGTTATTCACTGAACAACTGAAAATGGAGGCCCCAGTAGAGATTGAGCGTGCTCACAGAAATGGAAGGTTCAGGGGTGAAAATGATAGACCCAGATCCATAGCGGTAAATCTGCTGCGCTTTAAAGACAAACAGCTGATCATGGCGCGAGCAAGAGCCCAGCTGAAAAACTCCTCCATATACATTAATGAGGACTTTTCAGAGAGAGTGAGGAAGAAGACAGCAGAGTTGTTACCTGCTCTAAGAGAGGCAAGAGCGAGAGGTGACTATGCAGTCATCAGTTATGATCGCTTGATTGTTAAACCCAAAAGCAGGGATTGAAGGTGGAAACATGCAATATGATGGCATCACATTGTTAAATATGCTATAATGTACCTCAAACAAACTCATGGATCTAAATCTACCTAAAAAAGGTGTGAGAATTGCTCATATTAATGTAAGGAGCTTAAGAAACAAAGTACATGAATTATACAGTTATGTTCAAAAGGAAAGAATAAATATTATGGCTGTATCGGAGACCCATTTGGATCAGACAATTGTTGATAATTGTGTGGCTATATCTGACTACAATATTTATAGATGTGATCGAAATCTCTTCGGAGGTGGAGTTGCTTTTTACATACAAAGCCAAATCCCTGCTAAGATTAGGACGGACCTAATGGTTCCTACGGTTGAATGTTTATGCTTAGAAGTAAATATTCCTTTTTGTCGACCAATTATTGTTGGATGCATCTATAGGCCGCCAAATTCGAGTGCACTGTATGTTGATGAAATGTGCTCTATTCTGTAAAACATGTCTAATTTGGGTTATGAGATGTATGTGTTGGCAGATTGTAATATTGACTGGCTCTCTAAAACTTGTCATCTTAAGAAAAAGCTAAAAAGCACATTAAGAATCTGTAATCTTAAACAGATTGTCAAACAACCAACTAGAATATTCTGTAATGAATCTGGGCATATGTCCTCAACATGCATTGATCACATATTCACAAACCATAGCTCTAGTTGCTCTCAGGTAGTTTCTTTTCCAGTTGGTTTTTCAGATCACAATATAGTGGCTTTAGCCAGAAAATGTAAAGCGCCAAAAAGTGGGCCAAAAATAATACTTAGAAGAAGTTATAAAAATTTTAAGGTGGAGGAATTAATCAGTGATTTGGAGGAGATAGATTGGAGCCTTGTGCTATGTACAAAAGATGTGGATTTTGCAGTGATTTGTTTCTCTCAGTAGTAAGTAAGCATGCACCACTTAAAAGGCTTACAGTAAGAGCAAACAAAGCCCCATGGATTGATGATGAGCTTAGACAGAGCATGGCACATAGAGACTCCCTGAAAAAAGAAGCCTGTGTTTTAGGCAAAGTGGCATTTCCTGTGAAATGGGAAGCTTATTGTAAAGAGAGAAATAAAGTGACTATGCTCAATAGAAAGAAAAAAAGGGATTATTATAGAAAGTCGATAGATCAAAAGAAAAATGATGGTAAACAACTGTGGAATACCTTGAATGAATTAATGGGCAGAAGCAAAATTAAGACACCAGCATTTTTAGAAGTGAATGGACTTTTTTTTTAAAAGGTAAAGATATTGCAGACCATTTTGGTAAATATTATTATGATAAAATATATAAGTTAATGAATGACACAAAGTGTTACAGCAATCTGGGCACTTCATCTCAAATAATCAATGATTTGATTGTTAAGAATAAAAACTGTCATTTCACATTTAAATTGTTAAGCACAGATAAAGTTAAAAGTTTGCTTCTAAGTTTACATGAAAACAAACCATCAGGAATGGATGAGATTGATGGCAGATTACTGAAAATGGCTGCAAGTGTGATAGCTTCACCAGTCTGCCATTTGTTTAATCTAAGCTTGACAGAAGGGGTCTTCCCTCAAATGTGGAAATCTGCTAAAATACTTCCTCTTTCAAAAACTACCAATGTTAGCCTCTCTGCAGTCAATAGTAGGCCCATTAGTATTCTGCCTATACTTAGTAAATTGCTGGAAAAGGTTGTTTTTGGACAGATTTCAACATATTTAAACTGTAACAAATTGATTTTTGAATCACAGCATGCATATAGGGAAAATCACTCGACATGTACAGCCCTTACAGAAATGACGGAGAATTGGTTGTCTAGCATAGACAAAAAACTGATAGTTGGTGCAGTGTTTTTGGATTTTAGTGCTGCATTTGATTTAGTGCATCATCAAATGTTACTTGAAAATTTATCGGCATACAGATTTGGTGCCACTCCTCTGAAATGGATACAAAACTATTTAACATCTAGATCACAATGTGTGTTTTTTAATGGAAGCTTCTCATCACCTCAACAAATGCAGTGTGGTGTACCACAAGGCAGTTGCCTAGGACCATTGCTTTTCTCAATTTTTATTAATGACATGCCATTTTTCCTAAAAAGGTGCAACATAACTCTTTATGCAGATGATTCTACACTTTACTTTGCAGCAACAAAGATATCAGAGTTAAAAGAAACACTGCAGTTGAATTTGCAGGTGCTTCTTGCCTGGATTAATGAGAACAGACTAACCTTGAATGTTTCAAAGACAAAGTGTATGTTATTTAAAGCTAGGTATAAAAAATGTGATGATAAACTTGATATTGTACTAAAGGATATGGACATAGAACAGGTTCAAGAGGTGAAACTACTTGGAGTAACATTTGATGAGCAGCTATCCTGGGAAAAACATGTAGATATGATGGTGAAAAATATGGGAAGAAATATGTCTTGTATTAAAAGATTTAGATCTTTCATGACCTCAGCCTCAAGAATTTTGGTGGTTAAATCGTTAGTGCTGTGGCTCAGAGTAGAGGAGAGACTAAAATGTAATGTTTTGTGTTTCCTGAGGAATATTATTGTTTGTGGAAAACCTTCTCTTTTGTTCAGTTTGTTACATTATGTGAGAAATGAGCACAATTATTCAACCAGGCAGGCAGCTTCTGGTCATTTGACTCGACCCATTCCGAGAACAGGAGCAGTGTGCAGGTCTGTGTTGTTCAGAGCTGTCACTCTGTGGAACAAACTGCCTCATAACATCTCGACTGCTACTACGAAAGGTGCATTTAAAACACTTAAAAAAAAAACACTTTGTTGATAGCCATAATATATGAATATTTGTGTAACATATTGTACTGTAATGTGATATAATTTGAAATGTATCGTGGTTCTTATGATGTGATCATTTGATTTGTTTTGTGTATCTGTATAATTTTAAAGGGACCCCAGGAAGAGTAGCTGTCAAATTACCGACAGCTAATGGGGATCCAAATAAATAAACAAACAAAATAAACTTTTACCCCTGTCTCCGTGGTGTGTTCTGCATTTAAGTTTGATCCCCATACCCAACATGACAGAACACTCTGGCCACAAATAAAAACCCAGCAGACCACCTCCGGAGGTTAATCGAGGAGCAAGCTGCGCAGATTCAAGGACACGCTCTAGCCCTCCGTGAGTTAAACACACGCCTGGAACATCAAACTCAAGTTTTTTAGGATTTTGCAGGCTACGAGAGAAATGCTAATGCAGCACCTGCTCAACATCCGTTTCCAGAGCCACGTCCGCCTCAAAGGTCAGATTCTGTGACGTCACTTCCGGAATTCCGTCCGTCTCTTCCAGAGAGATTCTCAGGTACCCCAAATAAATGCAAAGGATTTTTGTTCCAATGCAGATTACTTTTTGAACATTCGCCTACCAGTTTCTCTAATGACAAGAGAAAAATAGCCTTCATTTTGTCTCAACTTTCAGGTCGAGCCCTAGAATGGGCGGAGGCAAAATTTTCTTCTGAATCCAGTTTTCTCTGCACATTTTCCGAATTCATAACTGAATTCTCTCAGGTCTTTAACCAAGATTCAGACAAATCTATTGATTCCCGAGCTCTGCTCAGATTAAAACAAGGAAGTCAGACGGTGGCAGATTTTTCTATTGACTTCCGAGTCAAAGCCGCCGCTTCTGGTTGGAATGAGTGTCCGCTTAAGAGTGCTTATTTTAAGGCCTTAAATGAAGACATCAACGACGAACTTGCTACAGTTGACGAACCAGCTAGTTTGAAGGATTTAATCAAGTTAACCATTCGGCTGGATAACAGACTTCGAACTAGAACCAGATCAAGGCAAGGAAGCCATGTTTTTTCTGCTACTGCCTCCGCATCTAACTACACATCTGTTTTTTCTGAATCCCCAGAGTCCAGTACCAGACCTAGAACTAAGAATCAGTCTGTATTCGCCCCTGTTCATGCACTCACTTTGTCTCCTCGTCCACAGAAAGACCCGAGGTTGAACCCATACAAATTGGCCATACTAGGCTTTCCAATGAAGAGAGACAGCGAAGGTTCCAAGGGAAATTGTGTCTTTACTGTGGTGAGCCCGGCCATTTCATTTCCTCGTGCCCAGCTAAGTCAAAAGCCGGGGTCCGTCAGGGGATGTGAGGAGTCTGACGGACCATCTACAATCTGGAAAATCTCCTCACCTCCTGTTACCTGCAACTCTGTTCTCCTCTTATCAAACTCTAACTCTTTCAGCCTTTATAGATTCTGGATGTGAGAGAAATCTAATTGATGCTAACCTGGTTCAACAGCTCAAGGTGGAGACTGTTCCTCTGAAGAAGCCCCTCAGAGTCTCTGCCATTGATGGAAAAAAGCTGCACCAAGTCACACATCAAACCCGGCTGTTAGAGCTCCTGATTTCTGGTAACCACAGAGAGACTCTAACCTTTTTTGGCTTTCCTTCAGCATGTTCATCCTTAGTACTGGGATACGAGTGGCTGGAGCTTCACAACCCCCACATCAATTGGGCTGAACGCCACATTGATTGAGTCTTGGTCTGCTTCTTGTAATGTCTCCTGCCTCCGTTCTGCAGCTCCTGCTATTCAGTCTCCTAGAGGCGGGGGGGAGATGGACCCTCCTGACCTTTCGTCCATTCCATCGGAATATCACGATTTGGCTCCAGTCTTCAGCAAGGTCAGTGCGATGTCTCTTCCACCTCACAGACCATATGACTGCGCCATTGATCTGTTACCTGGAGCTCCCCTTCCCAGCAGTAGACTGTTTAATATCTCCAAACCTCAGAGAGAGACGATGGAGAAATACATAAACGAGTCACTGGCTGCCGGTATCATCCGACCATCTTCTTCCCCTCTCGGTGCTGATTTTTTTTTCGTGGGGAAAAAGGATGGTTCTCTTCGACTGAATCAAATAACCATCAAAAATAAGTATCCCTTGCCTTTGCTAGCATCAGCCTTTGAACCAGTCCAAGGGGCTACTGTGTTCACTAAACTTGACCTAAGAAATGCATATCATCTTCTTAGAATAAGAGAGGGAGATCAATGGAAGACGGCATTTAAGACACCCATTGGCCAATTTGAATACTTGGTCATGCCTTTTGGGTTGACAAATGCTCCAGCCTATTTTCAAGCCCTTGTAAACGACGTTCTCAGAGATTTCCTCAACGTTTTTGTTTTTGTATACATTGATGACATCCTGATCTATTCCAAGAACCAGTCTGAGCATAAGAAACATGTCCGTCTAGTTCTCCAGAGACTGCTTCAAAATAAACTTTTTGTAAAAGCTGAGAAATGTGAGTTTCACCAACCTTCTGTCACTTTTCTAGGGTTTGTGCTCGAGGGCGGGCAGGTGAAACCATCTGAAGACAAAATAAGAGCAGTTTTGGAGTGGCCCACCCCCGAGAACCGCAAACAGCTTCAATGATTCCTGGGGTTTGCAAATTTCTATCGACGATTCATCAGAAACTACAGTCAAACAGCTCAGCCTCTCACAGCTCTGACTTCAGTCAAGAAAACATTCCACTGGTCCGCACACTGCATGAAAAGTGGGATTTTCGTCAATATGCGGCACTGTAGATTGTCGTGGAACTTCAGGTTAGCGGCAGTTTACGACAATTTGCAGGCTTCACCGAAAACTCCCGTAAATTGTCAGAAATTGACGTGGACTCTCTTAGGCAGTGTTCCCCCCATGCCTCCCCCCCATGGAATTCTAGGGGAGGCTTTAACATGTAAATGAACATGCTGTGAGCTATACAAATGCAAATCAGGGTTGCAGGGGGGGTTTTACTCCAAGTGACATTTTTCTAAAAGGTAAGAATAGAAAGAGATCAGGCTCAGTATAGCCTCTTACATTTTAGCTTGAATTGATTTATTTAATTAAAGTATAGAGACCAAAACAGATCTTTAGCTGACAGAGCAATACCTTTAGAGCAGTAATTATAAAAAAAAAAAAAATTGCATTTAAGATAAAAAATAAAATGTTGTCTGTCAATATGCTCAATTCACAATTACTTAAGTGGAAAAGTTTCAAGAAATGAGTCTGAGATGATTCACTTTATAACATGGCGCATTATCCTGTTGGAAGTAGCCATCAGAAGATTGGTACACTGTGGTCATAAGGTCCGGCCAGGTCAAGATCCGCAATTGCAATCGCACCAAACAGGACAAAGAACATCGACAAATTCCGGTTCGTCAAATTAAAATATAGCAGCAACAGATCGGTGACTAGAAATTATAGCACAATTCTTATATATACAAAAAAAAAACTAACACCGTTTATTTAAATGATTGGATCCAAACTATTGGTTATTCACCAACGAGGAAGCAGATTTCTCATCTCCATCAAAATATTTATTTTATACCGAGGGACTTAAACTTTAATCAAATCCATTCAAAAGAAACTTCTTATTACAGGAATGAAAAGAGATGTTTGGGAGAAGAGAACAAGTTCATTCAAAAAAAGCAGTTTTGAATTATCCTTATCCCCGTTACAAAAATCTACAAAAATATATATATATATTTGGGCAGAAACTGAACATATGCTGGATGATGGTGAGATTTTTTTAATATGTCATAATTAAATTAAGCGCTCACAGGGTTCATACAGGAATGAGTGACTCTAATTTAATGCTATTTTAATGCTATTTGAAATGATTTTAATGCCATCAACAAGAACCATGTACACAAGTTATTAGTGTACATGAAATACACTATATTGCCAAAAGTATTTGCTCACCTGCCTTGACTCACATATGAGCTTAAGTGACATCCCGTTCCTAATCCATAGGGTTCAATATGACGTCGGTCCACCCTTTGCAGCTAGAACAGCTTCAACTCTTCTGGGAAGGCTGTCCACAAGGTTTAGGAGTGTGTTTATGGGAATTTTTGACCATTCTTCCAGAAG